AATAAATAAATAAATAAATAAATTTTGCTTTTACCTACACTTCTGCTGCTTTAACATTTTATGTAAAATTTTGACACTTTTATCAACTTTCTACTATTTTTACATTTTACCCAGCCCTTTCCTACCGTAGCCTTACTGTTCAATTTAGCTAAAACTTTGTTAATTTAACTTTTATCTACTCTTTTATTAATTTTAGCTTTTACCTAACATTTTGCTACCTTAGCTTTTAGCTAGAGTTTGTCATTTTAGTTCTTGCTACTTTTAGCTTTCAGCTACTGTTCTAATGTTTCTAACTTTCAACTAGTATTTTGATACTTCAGCTTTTAGCTAGTGTTTTGTTCAGTTCAGCTTAACTTTTGCTACTTTTAGTTTTTAGCTTATCTGTTGCTGCTTTTTGCTAGTATTTTGTTACATTTAGCTTTATGCTAGTGCTTTACTCTTTTTAGCTGTTAGCAAGCCTTTTGTAAAACCTTTAGCTTCTTGCTAGCCTTTTGATGCCCTTATTTTTTTAGCTAGCCTTTTGCTCATTTTAGCTTTTTAAAATGCTACACACATACCTTTGTAGTAAATCAACTAAAATATTTAGACTATTTTTAATGAAAAAATTACTATAATGAGCACAAATTAGAGGCTGTCTGAAGACTGAGATTTTTTATTCTTGATGTAAACAAGCCATCATTGATTTACAGTAATGAAACTCTAATAACACCTAAATTTAATGGCTGGGGGTAAAGTTCTTTAGAAAGTTTAACCCTTTTAGCCCATCAGTGGTACATGGGTTATCCTATGAAACAAACAGAAAGCCAAATATAGCTATTTATGCATATATTAATGCAGCATAATGTTAATATTGTGGCTCACAGGGGAAACATTAAAGGAGAAGACTTGCACCATTTCACCTCTGCTGCCTGCTGGAGAGCCGGATGGTTAGCAGAACGCAGATGGTGAAGACTCCAGGCCCTTTTCACAAAAACAATCTAACCCTTCTAATGAACACAGTGTTTGCATTCTGTTTCTATTTGTACTATTTATGCAGCGAGCCAGCAAACTGGTCGCCTCCAGCCGCTCAGAGTGCTGGAAACATTTCTGAGAGCAGACCGAAGAAAAAAAAATTCACGGCTCGTAGAGAAAACAGACTGAAACCTTTCTCCAGCTCCACGGGGAACAGTTCCAGCCTCTCCACCCTCTTCTCCAGCTCATACTCCGCCGACGCTGCCATGGGGTCCACGTCTTCATTGCGCCTATCGTAGTCCTCGTTGGGGTAGGTGGCAAACACCTACGGGAGGAGGCAAAGACTTGATCAGGGTTGGTCACGTGAATTTAAACCACTAACGGAGAAGTTTCAGCTGGTACTCCTTTTTGGGTTTCCTGAAAGCACAAAGGCCAAAGATACACTGGCCCTCATGCGAGAACACGTTCTTATTCTTATCCTAAATTTCTCTTACTTTTGTTGGTGCGAATTGTTCGAACATGCCACATCAGATTCAATAAACTCTTTTATCTTCAGGTAAAGTGTGTAAATGAGCTGCGTAAACTGATGAATGCATATCCAGGTGCTCACGCACGAGGAGAGGAGATTTGAATAATTACCCACCTAAAAAAACACCATATAAGGCTATATGTTTCCTGCCCCACATACCAGGAAGTGTTCATTCATAAATGACATCGCAAAGTAAAAAGAAGAACTTTACTAGTTTGGAGATTGAAGTCCTGCTCTCAGAGATCCAGAAAGAAAAATGTCATTTTTAGCAGTGTCAGCTGTGGAATTAAAGGAGCTGCTAAAGCCGAGGAATGAAATGATGACTACTGTTAATACTGTGTCTCCTGTGGGACGTATAGTCACAGAAATAAAAATCTAAATCATATTCATCTCTCTCTAGTCCTGCTCCGGTTTTTCTTTGGTCAAATGTTTTTAATTTAAGTGTAAACAACTGTGTTAAATAGTTTTCATTTATTCAGAAGAGCAGCCGTGCACCGCACCCGGCCGTTGCAAGTGGCGTCAGATGTGGTTCTGAAAAAAAAAAAAAAACATTTTAAAATGTCTCCAAAATATTACTGGCACTTTGGAGAAAAAGCTGATGTGCTGAATAAATCTCAACGAAAACTAAATTTGATTTTAAAAATAACCTAATTTATAAAGCTCGTTAGGAAACGAGACAAATTAAATTTCAATTAATGCATAATTTAAGTTGGTTTGTAGTTTGAGATCTTCATATTAATATTGTAGTGCTATACAACTGCATTAATAGCCAATTTAGTCTACATTATCACATTTAAAATTCTAATTCAAACAGAACAGCCTACTGTCAACATAATTATTGAGTGTGATTTATTTTAAACCCGAAATATCTTCAAACTAATGAAATATAAAAGTTATTATTGAAGAAAATCCATCTAGATAACAGCAGACTGACTGCTCATAAAATATACGACAGGTCTGGACCACTCATGAATTTTGTTCGTATCTAAAGAAAATCTTAGAATATGAGAAAATTGATGAACGCCACAAATTCTCCTAAATCACTCAAACGCACAACTTAAGAACAAATCTGCTCGTACGAACGGTTCTCGCACAATGCCCAATGTGTTCTCCACACCCACCCCCTGCAAATAATGATGAGTCAGCGAAGCTAATGCTAATGCTAACACTACAAACTTGTCTAACCACCTGAAAAACCACCATGAGCCGGAGGAAAGCCAGAAAATGTGGACCTAAGCTACAACAAACTCGCCTCCAGGGAACAATGGAAACAAATCTACTCACGATGCTCTCCGTCAATCTGTCTCTAACGGGCAACATAACGCTGAAAAGAGATCATGCGGGCGGTGGCTGTTAAAATGAAAAAGTTAGTTGGATGATTTGCAGAACGCAGGATAAGTGATTTAGAGTCGAAAACAAATGACATGTCATCTTATAATTACCACAATTAATCATAAGTTCATTTATTTGCCAAATACAATTATCGCAATTCTTTGCTAAACCCTATACGACCAAGAGTTTGTAACATAAATCAAGACTTCCCAGAACTAAACAAAAAAACATGTCTAATTTTCCTACTACACAATCCATAAGACCAAAAAGAGTCCAATAAAGACAACAATAGGACATTAAATTAAATATTTGATTTAATTCTGATTATATAGATAATAAATGTGCTATAGATTAGCAGGAGAGGAAGAGTATATTCAGCTCCTTTGCAGCAACTGATTTTAAAAAGACAGACGTTTCTTGTGCTGCGTTATCACTTTCTCATCTCAGTTCTCACATTTACTCCAAAAATAGTAACTGCTAATGAAAACAGATTCACGTCCTGTGAACTCTGATGGGTGTTTGATTCAGTTTCTCTTTCAGTGACTCACATCAGGGAATCATGGATGTGGAGCAGAAAAGATGCAGTTTTATTCAGATAAAAATCAAACATTTTGACTTTGTGTGAAACGACTGACTGATCCAGGAAAGTTGCCATTTTATGCACTTTACGGAAAATAAGCTGCGATTCAAAAGAAAATTAAAGAGAGATGATCAAATAAAAATGTGGGTTGGAAGGCGACGGGCGACATGCATTCATTCAAGAGCCGCTCAGTCTTTTATTTGAACGCAGCATTTATCGGGATTATAATTAGTGCTGGGCGGTATACCGTTTTGTACCGAATACTGGTTTTTATTTTTGTTATGATATGAAATTTTTCAATACCGGACATTCCGGTTTAAATAGCGGAATGTTTCGTCGCGGCCGCCAGTGAACTGTTGTTTCCCGGGGGACATTTTTCCTTGCTGCACCGCTATGGGCGTTAGCATGCTAATGTTTGGAGCAGCTAGTTGCAGCCGCGGGTGGCGATTCTGCTGCTTATATTGACTGACGTTTAAAAAAACATCCTGTTTTCGCCGTCGCTGAATGTAGTAAACACCTCTTCGGTGATGTGCAGTTAGATTTAACACGGTTAGTTAATATGGAGACGTTATGCTGATGGAGACTTAACGTGCTTCTATTGTGAAAAGCCTGCGGGAAGTAGTTCGTAGTGGAGTTGGAATTGACTGGTGTGCAAGGTGAGTCGTGCTGATAAGCTTTAATAAATAACAAAACAATAAACCCAATCATAATCTTTTCTTAACCCTCCTCCTTCACGACTGGACCAAAATGCGTGACTACTGTCTCCAACCACCAGTCAGAGAAGAACAGACACAGAGGAGGGAAACAGCGACACAGACAGAGGTACAGTAAAAGAAAAATAAAAGTCAATAAGCAGGGTTTGTACATTTTATTACAGTATCAGCTGAGCTGTGATGAAAAGAAAAATAACGTCAAATACCGTGAAACCGGTGAAAATGTTGAAAATACCGTGATATAAAATTTTGATCATATCGCCCAGCTCTAATTAAAATCCAACACTCAGAGGGTGCAGAGACAAGCTGAGACGTGTTTTCGTGGTTTGATGATAACCGACGGCCGCTGTCAGCGCCYCCACCAATTTGGTTTGATCGACTGTTTGGACAGAGAGATCCGCTGCGTTTCCTCCAGGCTCGTGAGCTCCATCGTTTCACGGCTTTAATCAAAGGCGTGAGAGGCGCCGGATCAATCAGCTCTGATGGAGACAGAGGCTTCTGTTTTTCAGGGCTCAACTTCCCACACTCACTCTGTCCTACCAGTTTATATAACCACCTCCAGCATGCTAATGGAGGCCTTCTGCTGCTCAGACACACACACACACACACACACAGCAAGCTGAGCCTTTAAAAGCCTCAATTTCTGTCTTCCAGGGTGATTATGTATGCAGCACCTTACACACTCCAGTAGCCAGACTAATTCAGAGCTGGACCTTCTCCTCCTTTGATTCCATTTTCTCAACTTCTCTTCCCACAAGCTGCCGCGTTCCCTTCAAGTAAAATCTTTTCTCCGTCCCATTTTTGGTATTTTATTKGTCTGTTGTGTTACTCAGTAACAAGTGTGGCCAAAAAAAGCAGAAAATAAAAGTGAAGTGTTTCGCTGCCCCCCCGGGTCATACAGTATGGCCCCCACAGTTGCCCTGGAAACTCCACAGAATTCAGCTTGTTGCTTTTAACAGCTCCTCTGAATAAAAACAGCCTTTACCCCACACCTCTTTCACAAATTTTGAGATGCAAAATCACTTTGTCAAGAATGAATTATGGTGTTAAGGCAGTTTAACAATATAGAGTAAAGGAAACAGTGACTAAACTTAGCACAGAAAGTAAGGGAATTTGTGTTTGGTAGATTGTTTCATTGTTGTAACAACGGTTCTTAGTAATAAAGCTTATATTATTTAAAAGCCTGTTAATTTCCCTTTAAATCAGAGGTGACCAAAGTAGGGCCCGAGGGCCAAAACTGGCCCACCGAGCCATTTGATTTGGCCCACCAGCGGTTGTCCTGTTTACTAGATTATAATTATGTTAAGATTAAATATAAAATACAAGTAACTACAAGAGACATTTAGATTAGATTTAAGCCCATATCTAGATTTGCACACCTTATAAGACCACATATACACAAATTTTAAATTATTAAAAGTCCCATGAGCCTTTGCTGCCTGAGCATACGTTGAATTTTCTCCATGTCCATGGGCTGAAACAAAAAATTAAAGTGGGCAATCACAGTGGCTGTTAGCTTAATCATAAAAAATAAAACTAATTTACTTAAGTATTTGCATTTCTTTTATTATTGCATTTGGCCCATGGCCCTCAGATTGATTTTAAATTTGGCCCTCAGGGAAAATGTTTGGGCACCCCTGCTTTAAATGGTGCCAAATTTTGTAAAGAGCATGCATTTATGGGTTGCACACATAAAAAATTAGCAAAATCTTCTCTGCCAAACAGTTTATTTTGCTGTTACTGACACACAGTTTCTGGTACCTCCAGCTGCTGCCAKTCAGGTGCCCGCTGTAGGATTTATTCCCAAGAAGCACTGTCACAACAAAGAAACAGTCTAACAAACACAGATTTCCTTACTTTTTGTGCTAAGTATTGATAAAGTAGACTAAAAATATATTTTTAAAGCACTTATTACATCACGTCTGTATCTGATCCTGTATAAAAAAGAACAGCTTATATTAAATGATTAAACCAATATATTCTTCTAAGGTTTAAGTTGCTTTGCATGATGGAAATTCACTTTGGGTCAGGTCCAGATCTGACCAGCCACTCTTCTCACTGATATCTACTGCAGATAAGATACTGACAGATCATAACCTCTCCACAGAAGCCCACTCCAAAAACTCCAAAACATGTACAGGGGTTAGACAATGAAACAGCTGGTTTTAGAC